CATGGCATATAGCCCAACGCATGAGCGCTTAAAAAGCAGAATCAGAAGCAGAAGCAGAAGCATAACCTATAGCCTAATAACAGAATTAAACTATGCCCATGACGAATATAAACAATTAAGTAAAGAGAGTCATCTGCAACTAGAGATTGCAATTGCAATCGCTGTATGGGTTAAATAGGGCTACTAATGTAAAAAGGAAGGTCCCTATGAGCATCAAAAGCTATTGGACGTCCTCACCTAATTAACCAGCTTCTCGGGGAGAGAACGGATTTTGACAACAAATAGTCCTCGAACTATAGGTTGCCATCCAAGCTATTTCTTAAAAAATAATAAGCAAGAGGAGGGGTATGGTCCTCCTCTGTGCAGTTGCCAGGTACCCTATTTGTCTACAAGTGCACCCAAACATATGTCCATCTGTTCCAATCCTCAACAATCCCTGGCTACCATAGGTTAATAAGGGATCTAGAGCCCCTTTACCAGCTTGAAGGCCATGTTGCCCTTACAGAACACCATCAGCTTCCTTCATGCTGAAATTTGACCTTCCACACCAAAACCCGCTTATATCCCCCCACGCAGAACCCAATCGGAAGAAGAGAATGCCCCTCTCCTTTTTTGATTTGCTCAAGGTAGCATTGATGGCGCCTAAACGCAGCCAAAGCAGAAGGGAATCCGTCTCTGGTTGGCCGAAAAACCCTATTAATGGCCATTGACATCCACTCGGATCTACTATTACAACCTCAATGTGAGATGGCTTCTCTCGGCACAATTGCTCACAGAACATCAAAGCCCACCCTAGATCTAATAATGGCGAGAAAGAGGAAATTTGAAAGGCAAACTCATCCTGCCAGAACAGATTCAAGCCACCCCTTCTCTCAGCACAATTGCACGCGAAATAGTGAGCCAACCCTAGATCTATTTGGAACAAAATCATCTCCATCCTCGATTGCTGTGATGCAGGGAGCAAAACAGGGTTCGGCATTTGTTGGAGGCACGATTGAGTTGACTCATAAAACAAATAAACCTCTCCGAGATTGCAATAAGTCCAAGCCAACATAAGTGGATGAGCCATGGGAAGAAACGAAAAGAGAAATCGAGGGAGAAGCCCTGCACGAAAACAGGGAGAAACGCCTAGGCGAGGGGCTCGACCGTCGCAAGGAAACCCTAGCGGCGGCGAGAGGGCTGCGGGCTACTAACTCCGTACTTTGGTTATTTTAATTAGTGGTAAAAGAAGCATGAGCACATCATGCATTGGGGTATTGGATTGTCATGATTGAGGCATGCAAGCAGGTGAAATGATAAAATGGGAATGGGGAAATGAAATGATTAAGTGGAGCTTCTATGGGGATTGATTTGAGGTGGTTAAGGAAGTGTTATGAGTGTAAGTTTTTAAGTGTTTTATTAATATAAAAATTATATTATTATTA